GATGTTCCTCTCCAAGGACTGCTCCCTTCTTGCAACAGTACGTCAGACAAAGCTTCACAATCCTTGCCTCCAAGGAGCAGCCTGGTTTCACCCTCTTCAGGTCAAACCTGTTCGTTTTCTTAGCAGTCTATGGTATATTCAATTCTCTTCTCCAACACCACATCTCAAAGGCATCAATTCTCCTATTATCCCTAGTCATTGTCCAGCTCTCTGATGCATAGCAAGTGATTGTAAAGACCATGGCCTGTATCAGGTACACCTTAGTCTCCAGAGTGACACCACTGCTCTTGAGTACTTTAGAGAGGTCTCTAACTACAGCTTTTCACATCACAGTATGTCTTTTTAACTTCCTGGCTGCTGGTGCCAAGAGTATTTATTGTGGAGCCAAGCAAACTAAAGCTGTGAACAATCTCAATCTCTTCACCATCCATCATGAGGCTGCCAATCGGCCCACTGGTGAGAATCTTTATTTTCTTGATATTGATCCTCAGACCATACTGAAGACTGTAGTCCCTGACTTTTCACAGCAAGCACTTCAGGTTTTCCTCAGTTTCAGCAAACAAGGTTGTGTTATCTGCATAATGCAGATTGTTGATGAGTCTTCCTCCAATACTTTTAAAAATTTTTATCATTTTACAGAGAAATTATACATCACTCATTTAGCGGATGTAAACTGTGATATAACTGTTATGGTCATGATGTGAACAGGATGTTAAATACAAATCAAAACTATATCAACACACTGTAACATATCTTTTACCTTTTCCTTATGGTCACAAAGTAGTTCAAAACTCTCTGACTTGGTCGATTCGTTCATACGTAACTGATCCACCTTCTGAAGGAGGGCATCTAAACTTAATTCCTCCACACGTGTGTTGAATGTCTTAGGGACGGGAATACTCTGTTCTTCTGTGTCAGTATTTGCAGTAATATACCTAAAATTGTAGACATAATCATCAGTTCCTTTGAAATTTAAACTACAGTTACAAAGTACCCTTGAATATGCAATCCCACCACACATATTGCAAATTCTTCAATGGCAATTTACCACTAAGCTGACCAATGATACTTACCACTGAAAGAATAAGCCACAACCCAGCAGCAGAACACAAGGCCGTGTATGGATTTTGTCCCAACCCCATCACCCCTTTGGCTTCATTTTCTACTATTCTTCCCTTCACTCAGTCAACTGCACCCTGGCTTGGAGCTGTTCCTTAAACATGCTCCTATCTCAGGACTGTTGCATTGCTGTATGCTCTTTTGGAATGTCCTTCCTTCATAAACCACACGTCCTCACCTCCTTCAAGTCTCTGTTTCAATGGCCTCTCAATGTGCCTCATTCAGACCACTCTGTTCAAAGCTGTAACCTCTCCCGAGTCCACCCCACCCACACTACATTCATCACCAGTCTCACTTACCATGTTTGTCTTTTTCTCCCCATGGTATTGTTCTTAGATGCTGTCCAGTCAACTACAATTTATAGTAATCCTATGGACAACAGATCAGAATCCTGCTCTGTCTGGGGCCATCCTCAGAATCTCTGCCTTGCTCAATCCTGTGATTGTCAATCCATCTCACTGAGGTTCTTTGTCTTTTGCTGATCCCCTACATTTCCTACCATGATGTTTTTTTCTAAGGATGTCTTTTCCCCCCAGCATATGTCTTTTTCCTGTAATCCAACAAAATGCTTCATGTATGTGAGAGGAAGTCTCCTCACCCTTGCCTCTCAGGAACATGCTGGTTGATTTCCTCCAAGACAGATTCGTTTGTTCTTCTGATATCCCATGGTAAGTTCAAGAATCTTCACCAACACCATAGCAAGTGTAATTTTTTTCTTTAGAAAATATAATTTTCTAACATACCACATAATTTATTGATATTTTTACATGAGCAGTTTTGTGCCTGTATCAGCCAACTACACAATGCTTCTTAATGGTAGAGCTGTTTATTAAATGGTGTATCTAGTGCCTAGTAGAGCAAACACTTAGTATAAAATGTATATTAAATGAAAATTGTTAAATGGAAGATATAGCATTATAGGAACTTAGTCGTCTCTCTCTTTTTATCTATCTCTCTATCTACAGTGTAAAATAATATTCCAACTTTTAGTTAATTTAAAA